AATTTTAAGCAATGGCATCCTTAGAATAAGTCACGTAGACTTCCAAAAGAACTATTTGGAAGAACAACAGTCATCTGGATGCATAAATTCTAGTATACTTTTATTTGACTTCTTTTTTTTTTTGGCCTGGACCTATCATTTCATGAGGTATGGAACTCTCAATTTTATACCAAACAATACAGAACCTTCTCTGAAGCAGTTTTAGAGAGTTGCTTGGGGCACTTAGAGGTTAAGTTAAAAGTATAAGCTAGTATGAATCAAGAGACAGGACACAAACTTAGGTCTTCCTTACTCTGAAACCAGCTCTCAGTCCACTATTTTTGTTGGTCAGTTGTTTCAGGTGTGTGTGACTTTTCATGACCCCATTTGGGGTTTTCTTAGCAAAGATATTAGAGTGGTTTGCCATTTCCTTCTCCAGCTAATTTGTACATGTGAGGAAACTGAGCCAAACAGGGTTAAGTGACTTGCCCAGGGTCACACAGCTATCATGGGGCTGAGGCCAGATTGGGACTCAGATCTTCCTGACTCCAGGACCTGTGCTGTATCCACTACCCCACCTACCTGCCCTTCAATCCACTTTGCCAGAGGTCTAAAACACACAGACTGTGACATTCCTGGATATAGCCTGAACCAGATTAGAATGTAATTAGGAAATATTTAATATGATAAATAAAAATACATTAAAACATAGATAATATTAATATAGGGCTTTCTAAGTTAGTATGCAGCCCACAGGAATCCCTACATATGGTTCAGTGGGCCCCATTTCTTTTTGAGTTCAACAGCATTACACTGTTCCACATTATCTCTTATTATCTTGTAATCATATTTTATCTATACTTGAAGATAACAAAACCACATTTATGTAAAAAGTTCTATAATTCGGGATTTTCAACAATTCAAAGACTCTTTCTCTCAATTAACATGAACTGATGTGATTATAAGGACTGTGAATAGGGAGCCGAGCCTGGAGTCAGGAAGACTCATCTTTCTGAGTTCAAATCTGGCCTCAGACACTTACTAGCAGTGTGATACTGGGCAAGTAACTTAACCCTATTTGCCTAGATTTCCTTATATGTAAAAATGAGCTGGAGAAAGAAATGGGCAAACCATTCCAGTATCTTTGCCAAGAAAACCCCAAATGGGGTCACAAAGAGTCAGACACAACTGAAAAATGACTGACCAATGATGTGATTATATTGTGTTGGTGGCATGGTATACTTGCCTATATTTACCTGAAATATTTTTTAAAATGGTCCAAGGGAACAATGCAATCATTTGAAGTAGAACATCTAGCAATTCAGGACTAAAATCAGTAGCACAAGCTTCTGAAAAATACCTTTAAAATATAACACTATTGAAGAAAGCTTTACTGTCAATATTGCTGTGTTCTTTTAAGGTTGCCTCTGCAAACATATGAAAAGTTTAATAAGGAGTAGGTGTGTGTTCAGAGCTGTATGGTCTAGCCTTCTTAGTTGAAATAGAATATCCCATCACTGTTAGATAATAGTCATGCCATTTTTATCAAAAGTAAGGATATTTATGTCATAAACAGCAAAGACTATAAGTGTTAGAGGGGGAAAAAAATAAAATAAATCTTAGGGATTCCTGAAACTAGCTTAATTGACCCTAACAGAACCTTGGCTTAGTTCCATCTGTTGTACCTTATTATTTTGGGTTATTAAACAGAATTATCTCCCTGAACTTATTTAACTGCAATAAATTTTCCCCTAAGAAATTGTTAAGTGATAAAGGCCAACACAAACATATATCTTTTTCCTGCTAATTTTATGTCCCTACAAAATTAGGAGAGGCAAGAGCCCCAAAGGGATTTTAAAGAATAGGAAAATATGCCTCCTCTTTTCAGCTGATTAATGTGTTGAAATATGTGATTTGTGCTTTTTAGCTGTTCTGTATACATTTCTGGTGGGGGGCTAAGATCAAGAGTGAGTGTGAATCATGACATTTAATTGGAATCAAGTAAGGCTTCCTCTTAGTGGCATTATTTCAAAGTAAGCATGGTTTTGCTGTACATAAATGTCATACCCTTAAAAAAAGAATTTATGTAGATGTTGTTGGTTACAATGATGTATCGTTAATCTCCAGCAGTGCAGAAAGATGCTTTGTTTGAACTCCTCCAACTCCCTAGGATGCCGTTTACATTCAACCTAATCTATGTTTTATATCTCATACTTCAAATCATATCACAACAACCAGTTCACTTGCAAATTGCATTTCATTTTACATATGATATTTAAATGTTAATTACTGAAACAACGTTTGTGTTTGTTTGCAGCATAGTACCAAAATATTTCCTACCTTATGGGCATGGTACATGAAGGGAGGAGACTTATCCTACCTTCAAGACAATGCCAATCCCAAAATCAAGGCCCTTTTCTTAGTCTGCCACTCAGACTATCACGTGTGTTTGCTCTGTCACTTCCCTGATGCAATGACTCAATCCAGCAGTCTTTTATTAAGTCCCTATTGTGTGCAAGCACTAGGCTGGGGGTTGGGTGACAAACAACGTTTAAGTAAGACTCGGTCCTTTCCTCCATGGAGCATAATTCCTAGGAGGTGTGCTGGTCAAGTATTTGTAATATTTATGTCTGCATATTGTCATATGCCTGCAGAGAGATGAGGAAAGTGTGGCTCAGAGGAGTTAATTGCCTTTTGTTGTTATTGTTGAGTCCTATCAGTTGTGTCCAACTCTTGATGACCCCCTTTGGGGTTATCTTGGCAAAGATACTGGAGTGGTTTGCTATTTCCTTCTCCAGCTCATATTACAGATGAGGAAACTGAGACAAACAGGGTTAAGGGGCTTGCCCAGGGTCACACAGATAGTAAGTGTCTAAGGCTGGAATTGAACTCAGGAAGTTGAGTCTTCCTGACTCCAGGCCTGGCACTCTATCCACTGTGCCACTTAGCTACACTTTAGCTGACTTGCCCAGGATCAAATGGTTAATAAGGGGTGTAGCCAGAAATTGATCAGATCAGAAATGCTTTTGTTAATGTCTTCTGGCATAATTTTAGTCATCAGAGAAATAGACCTTATAATTTTTGTTATACTTCACGTCATACTGTCTGTTGATGTTGCCTCCTGGAGTTATTATAGCATCTAGACTGCTACAGTGAAAGGAGAACTTAGATCTCATCTAGTCCAACTCCCTTATCTTATCAATGGGGAGACCGAGGTTTGGGAGAGTTAAGTTACCTGTTCAAGGTTGTACATCTAGCTAATGGCAGAGATAGGATTAAAATATGGGTCTTTATAAACTATATCACACTGCTTCCCCAAGTTATTGTGAAGTTTAAAGTCATGCTTTTGTGTTTCCTAGTATTTCTTCTAGATGGTGTTACTTTGCGTCACTGTGCAACTATTACCTAGGCATCCTCTATCATTCATTTTCTGCTCAGGTACAATCCTGCCAGGCTATTACAATAAAAACCTCACTTCATCGCTGAGAGTACCACTACCTCATTCATTGTTAGTCATTTAATATCATCCTGTGATTTAATAGTAAGTACAATTTATAAGTGATACTGAGGCAAGTGCCAGGTTATGACATCTATCTGAATCTTTCAGTCATAGGGAAAACTGAACACAACCACAGCTCTAAAAAATCAGAGGCTACTTGAAATCAAGTTCAGAGGATCAACGAAGTGTGGCCCTAACTGACTTGGGCCAAAAGCCCCATTGTGGAAGCAGGTGTGGATAGAGTATGCAGGCCATGTTATGGATCTTGAATGACCAATGGTGTAGTGGAGTGTGTAAAGAAATTTAATCTCTTATTAATTAATTAATTAATTAATCTCTTATTATAACTATTGCTTCCAGGATCAAATATAAAATTCTGTTTGACTTTTAAAGACTTCCATAACTTGGCCTCTTCCTACCTTTCCAGTGTTCTTGTTCCTTACACTGCCCTCCCCCAACTCTATAAATGAGTGATACTGGCCTCCTTACTTCTCCTTACACTAGACACTCTACCTCCCAATTATAGCGATTTTCACTTGCTGTCCCCCATGTATAGAACTCTCTTCCTTCACATTTATGTCTCTTAGTTTGTCTACCTTCCTTCAAGTCTTGGCTAAAATCTCACCTTCTGCAAGAAATTTTTCCCAATAGCCAGTGTCTTAAGTGACGCAAGTCACTTGACCCTGTTTGCTTCAGTTCCTTGTCTGTAAAATGAACTGGAAAAGGAAATGGCAGACCAGTATCTTTGCCAAGAAAACTCCAAAATGGGGTCACGAAGAGTTGTACATGACTGAATTGACCCAACAACAAACTTCGTATCAGGTATTTTTCTTTAATGCCTAACATTCCATGGAATGACTCAACAACAACACAAAATAATATGCTTTCCGACATCATGGATAAGATTTTGTGAAGCTTTACTCTCTCCTCCCTATGGATCAGAGGATAAGGAACTAGTTTTTTGAAAAAAGACCAGCCAAGATTCAGGGGTATAGATTCTGTCTCTCAAAATGCCTAGGGTACTTTGTGATCAAAGAATGGTATGTACTGTACTTGAATAAATACAGGTTGAATGAATATTTTATCAACTTTTGATGAAGCCAGCCTTACAGTCAATCATTTCAGATAGATGCTGCTGAGATTTTTTGAGGAGGTCATGGAGGGACTTTAAAAGCTTTTTCTTTACCCCTACAGTTGCCCCAAAATGATGTTGGGTTTTCAGAGATACCCATATCCACTCCATCTTTATGAAGCCTTCTGCTCTACTGGTTGATTGTGCTTTTTGAAGCATATCCACAGGAATCTTTTGAGCTGGAAGGAACCTGAGAGACAGGTGGGAGATTAGAGGCTACTCTGTAAAACTGGGACAGCATTATCATTGTCATCAGGAAATGCTATTTCTTAAGCCCCTACTTGTGCATGAACTGATAAGCCCAAAGACCAACATGTTCCGTACTGGCCATATCAAGAAACTGCAGAGGGCCACAGATATTCATCAGTAATTCAAAGTTCAAGAGTTACCACTGAATCCTGACATCTGGGCAGCACACCATACAATGATGTGCCAATCAAAACTGGGTAGAATGTGGCACAAACAACCTCAAGGTGAGTGTAGAAGTAGCCTCACTATAGGCTTTGAACTAATTAAAACCTTTTTTCAGTGAGTGGTCTGGTGTTGTAGTTTTTAAGTAACAGCAATAAGTTTTTTAATTAATTTGGTTAATGTTATTGGAGTTACTGAAAAGTGAGATGGTCTAATACTAATCCAATTGAGCTGAAGCACATAATCTCTTAATCACATGGCCAAGAATTTGATGGAAATAAGTATTTTATTGTAACCATATTGCTTTCTACCTATGGACTTGGGCAGGATGATGGGGAAAGGTGACTAATGATCTTGAACACAAAAGAATACAAAATGACTTTTGTGATTCCTTCCATGAAAAGTTAGGCATTAAAGAAAAATACCTGATACCAAGTTGTTGTTGGGTCAGTTCAGTCATATCTGACTCTTTGTGATCCCATTTTGGGGTTTTCTTGGCAAAGATGCTAGAGTGGTTTGCCATTTCTTTCTCTAGCTCATTTTACATATGAGGAGCTGTGACTTTCTCAGGGTCACACAGTTAGTAATTGAGGAAAGATGAGTCTTCCTGATTCCAAACCCAGTGCTCTATCCACTGCACCACCTAGCTGCCCTGATACCGAACTAGTGCCACTAAATAGTTTCTTATCAGCAATGAGCAACAAAAGATTACATGTTTAAATCAAACTCTATTGATGACACATTCTCATTGTATCAACAGTGGATATTAGTATGTTCCTGTTTCCATAATGTTGGAAGTGCAGATAGCCTCCTACTTACAGCAGGCTTACTGATCAGCTAACTGTTTATTGAATTTATTACATAAATCCAACCATCCTGCAAGTATTCAGCATTTGTGAACATATACAACAATACCCTGAGGAAATGCAAACTTTTTTTTTGGCCAACTGGAAATGAAGGACTCTTTTTTTTTTTTTTAAGGCTTAGAACTCAGTTCATTTGAACAGAAATCTCAGGATTGTTTTCCCCTTTCACAGAGAAAGAGCTTTCTCCCAAAAGAAAAAAAAATTTATGGAGGAAAAAAAATCCATTCCCTCATTTTGGTGAAATTCATAAATAATGATCTACTAAAGAAATTTTTGGTCAGTTCCAACCAGTTAATGTTTTATTTGATTCTGACTACAAAATGGTCAATTCAGCTCTGAAATAATTAACTGCAAATTCATTTTCTAACCTTTAAAAAACCCATTGTCTTTTCCCTCCTTTTCATTTTCTTTCCCTTTCACCTGGATAATAGGACCTCGAGTCCTAATCGCACTCTCCACACACACTTCCAAAGTGTGTTATCTCCAGCAGTTCCTCAAGAGACTTTCTCTTTAATTTGTTTCTTCACACATTCCAAGCTGGTTTATTTTCCCTGAGCCTGCTTGAAGTATGACACTGGTGCTGCCTCCAGTAATCAAAGGTTTATAAATAAATGGGTTCAGGTGCTCCAAGGACTTAGTGGTATGGCCAACTAAGGAAATAGGCAGGAGGAAGTTGCTGCATGACTACAAGAGGAAAGAAGTGGGTGTGTTTCTTACCTCTGAGGGTTTGCCCTTTAGGGAAAAGAGACTCAAGACTTGTGGCCTTCTGTTATAGATGAAGTCAAATTTCAATTAGTCAGACCTCAATAATAAAACCTTCTAAGTAATTCAGTGTTAAAATAGTATGACAAAAATTGAACATACTACTTATTTTATATCTACTAGTAAGTTTTAAATGCCTGAGGACTATAATACTTACAGGAGTATCTTTGAATTTGCCATCATTTATGTATGTGTTTCCTCCAAAAATAAGAAAATCATATGTATTTTATTATCCAGTTTGGGTTTTTTAGTGTATGCCAGGTACCTTTGAGCACATTTCCTTCTCTTAGATGATCAAAACATTTCTGTATCTTTGATGCCTCCAACTCAGAGAAGACTGCATAAAAAGAGTACTGGACTTGAAGCCAGAAGTCCTTGATTCAAATCATTATCTGACATTCACTGTCTATGGACAAATCAATTGCCTCAATTTCCACATCTGTAAGATGGGAATAATGCTGATACTTCTTCCCTCATAGGGAAGTTGTGAGAAAGTGTTTTGTAAGCATTAAACACAAAATACATTTTATTTCACATGGACGATTTAAATAAATATTACAAATTGCATTCTTCATGACAATGCTTTGAAGCAAATAATGTATATGCATATATTCTTATAACATTGGGGAATGGAAGGAAATAGGCACTTATACAGTACTTACTGTGTGCCAGACACTATGATTTACCTAGTTTCCCTATTTCTTTTCCCACTCCTGGTCTCCCAAAAATCTTCCTTGTAATAAACATAGTCAAACAAAATAAATTCACGCATTGGCCATGTCTGAAAATGTACACTTTACTTCTCTGCACCTCTAGTAAGAGGCTGAAAGCATCCTTTGTCATTAGTCTTCTGAAGTTGTGGTTGGTCACTGTGTTAACCAGAGCTCTTAAGTCTTTCAAAGATGTTTTTCTCTACTATGTTGTAGTCATTGGTTTGAGTTGTACTCACTTCACTCTGTTTCATTTCCTCCAAATCTCCCCAGGTTTTTCTAAATCCATTTCCTTTGTCATTTCTCATGGCACGATAGTATTCCATTACATGAATATATCATAATTTGTTCAGCCATTATCCAATTGATAGGCACTCCCTTAGTTTCCAGTTGTTTGGGAGAGCTTGCTGGCATAGTAGATTAAGTGCAGGGCCTGGAGTCAGGAAGACTTGAGTTCAAACCTGGTCTCAGTCAGTTACTAGCTGTGTGATCCTGGGCACTTAACGTCTATTTGTCTCAGGTTCCTCATCAGTAAAATAGGGATTATCTTAGTTTGAGTCAGTATATTAGTATGAGTTTTTTGAGGATCAAATGAGCTAATAATTGTACAGTGCTTAGTATAGCACCTAGCACATAGTGTTTAATAAATGTTGCTTCTTTCCTTCCTCTCTCCCTGGCACATTCCCTCTCTCCTTTGTTCCCTTAATACCTCCCTCCTTCTTTCCCTCTCCCTCCATTTGCTCTTTCTCCCTCCCAACATTAGCTCCTTCTTTTCTTTCTTTCTCTTCCTTCCTTCTTTTTCTTTCCTTCCTTCCTTCCTTAAGTTCTCTCCCCACTTACTGAGAAAGTAGAAACTAGAATTCACTCAGCTCCAAGCCATTAATGTGACTGCTATAGTATGGAACAAGTGCTTTGTCAGAAAGAGGAATAATAGACTGAAGGATAGGAATGGGAACTGAGCAAGGAGTGAATGACTGAGAGAAAGGGTTTCACAGGGTTGAAGGACAAGGAAAATTCAAGGAAGACCTCCTACCACTGTAACCACCCAGAGACACTTCTCCCTTATGACTATCTCCATGTCATCCCCTTTCTTTTCTTCGACAGGCCTCAGAGATTGGCCCACCTGCTTCCCACCTTTTGCTTGCATCTGAAATGTGTCTCCTGAGGCTATTTGGGTCCTAGGTTTTAGTAGGGGCCATATTACATGGCAATGGGAAGAGCATAAATCTTTGGACATGAAAGAATCCCAAACCTTTAGGGCTATATTTTCCCCTGAAAATAAGTATCTCCTACTATGTTCCCGTGTCCAGTATCCTAAAATGTAATCTAGTGGTTGTATGTATACGGTGTGTACAAATGGCCCCACTGCAAACAACTGTCTTCCAGGGACCCAGGAGAAAAAATTGCATAATAATAAATTCTATTTATATGTTTCAGTTTTGCAAAACATTTTCTATACATTAGCTCATTTGATCCTCACAGCAGCACCTCTATGAAGTGTTATTAACCCCATTTTACAGGCAGCTAAGTGGTACAGTGGCTAAAGTTCTATACTTGAAGTCAAGAAGACCAGAGTTTGAAACCTGCCTCAGACAAGTAGCATAATCTCTCAGTCTCAGTTTCCTCATCTGTTAAAAGTTCTTTGCAAACCTTAAATCATTAAATAAATGCTAGCTATTATTGTTGTTGTTAAATTATACTTGTGAGGAAGCTAAGACCCAGAGGCAATTAATGTCTTGCCCATTATCACAAAACTATTAAATGTCAGAAGTCATATTTTATCCCTGGTGTCTTCTAACTCGAAGTCAGTACTAGTACTAACTAAAGATTTCTAGTACTCTTTCTACTACCTCTCCACCACATCAAAAAAGGCTATAATATCCATGTCTTCATCCCTCCTTTATACTTCCTCCTTTTCCTCCAAATGCCACCCCAGTCCTTGCATTAACTCAGAGCTCAGCTAGTGATTTTTTTCACATTAGGAACTTAATTCCATTGGGTGGGGGGAACTAATCAGAATGACTCCAAATTATCTTCCCACACATATGTTTTCTGTATGTGTAATCCCTCTATGAGTATGTATTATTTTGTGTTCTACATTTTTCATTTAATGTACTTTTGGTTTATATTGCATATTTGTACTTAAAATTTTCTTCCTATGCACATCCCTGAGGGTCTGTGCAGCCCATATTTTTATCATTTTATTTAGTTATCATGGACATCAACATATCATTGTTTGCTTAATCGTCTTCCTATTATAGGCATTTGAGCTGTTTACAGTGTTTGGGTATTATTCATGGTAGTGCTATGAATTTATAAGCACAAATCACTTATTTTTCCTTTGGAATTATTTCCTGGGGATATAATCCTGGAAGCATAATTACTAGGTCAAAAGGTCTGAACAATTTTGTAGCTCTTCCCAATATTACCATCCAGAAAGATTAAGATAATTTCCAGTATCAATAGCAATGTCCAAATACATCTTTTTCTTCCCAGGTTAGCCAACTCTGGATTTTTGTCAGTTTTATTCTTATCAGTTTAATAAGTGTGAATGGTACCTTAAAAGGTTTTTTTTTTTAATTGCTACTGAAGTCATGCAGTTTTTTCCCCATGTGATGACTTACTTTTTGTCTCTGGGATCACAGGATTTAGAACTAAACGTCCCCTGAGGGATTATTTAACCCAACCCCATCATTTAATAGATGAGGAAACTGAATCTGAGGCAGACACAATGACTTGCCTAAGGTAACATAGTTAGAAAGTCGAATAGAATCAGACTAATCCAGATCTTCTGATTTCAAATTCAGTTCTCTTTCTGCTATCTCACATATAAACCATTGGATCATCTAGAATCTGAATGTTGACCATATGTCTTTATATAAATTCTTTATCGATGTTGAACAATAAACTCATTAATTATGTTTGTCTTATATATTTTTCAGTTGGTTTCCTTTTTGTATTTTATTGTATTTCATTGAGCAAAAAGTTTATTTTAATCTTTTCAAATATACCTATAATATCTCTGATAAAAATCATTTTCCTGCATCAGAAATTTATCTTTCCTCCCTAACTGGAAGAGGGATGCTATTACATTTCTCCCAGTTTTTAAAATAGATTTTTTGAAAATGTTAACTCCTTGATCCAGCCATAATTTATTACAGTGTATGGTATGAAGAATAGATCCAAATTAATTCTTCTTCCTTTAGTTGTTCCCCCCCAAAAAATTATTAAATACTGATTTATTTCTCCTTTAATATATTACTTCTATTTTTTTTATTTATTAAGCTCTTTTAATGGTTTGGATATATATCTGTGCCACTAGTAATTTTTTCTGCCTGTATGATTTGATTTGATTATTATCATTTTGTTATGTATTTTAAAATATCATAGGTTAAGTCCATCACCATTTAAGATGTGTGTGTGCATATGTTTTTGGTCCAGACTTGTGATTTCATCAATGTGGGGAAACCCCATTGTGGAAACGCTCTCTATGCATACGTATATAAATATACTATAACTGTATAATCATCTATAACTTACAGGCTTAGAAAGTTGTCTGAAAAGTTAAATAACTTGCCTGTAATCACAGAACTAGTACAGGCTGGAGGCAGGACTTAAACTCCTATGTCTTCTGGACTCCAAAGCAAATTGCATCAACACAACACCACACTGTCTCTAATGCATGTGTGTGTGTGCGTGCATGCGCGTGTGTGTTTTGATGCTTTCATCTGCCTACTAATTTCTCTGATTCTAGGTAGTAACCTATTTGTACATTTTTTTTTCAACTTTCTTCCTCTTTACTGCTAAGATTCTGAAAGTATATGCCAATGGAACCTTTTTAATTTTTTTTAAAACAAACAAGTATTTATTTTCTTTCTCAGCTGAGGGAAAAAGACCCACATGTACAAAAATATTCACAGCAGCTCTTTTTGTGGTGGCAAAGAACTGGAAATTGAGGGGATGCACATCAATTGGAGAATGGCTAAACAAGTTGTGGTATATGAATGTAAAGGAATACTATTGTTCTATAAGAAATAATGAGCAGGCAGATTTCAGAAAAACCTGGAAAGACTCACATGAACTGCTGCTGACTGAAGTGAACAGAACCAGGAGAATGTAATACACAATAATAGCAACATTCTATGATAACCAACTTTGGTAGACTTGTCTTAGCTCTTCGCAGCAATTCAAGGATCTAAGACAATTCCAAAAGACTCATGACGGAAAATGCTATCCACATTCAGAGAAAAAGCTCTGGAGTCTGAATTCAGATCAAAGCACACTATTTTCTCTTTTTTTGTTTGTTTTTTTCTTTCTCCTGGTTTTTCCCTTTTGTTCTGATTCCTCTTTTACAACATGACTAATGTGTGAATATATTTAATATGATTATACACATATAACCTATATCAGATAGTACGCCATCTTGGGAAGGGGGGATGGGAGAGAGGAGTAAAAAATTTGAAACTCAAAATCTTTTAAAAGTGAATATTGGAAACTATCTTTGCATGTAATTGGAAAAAATAAAATACTATTAAGTGGAAAAAAATAAAATGGTGGTTGGTCATAGCATTTTCTTTACAATGTTATTGTTATTGTATTGATTGGCGCTATTGTACAGATGAGCAGGAAGACTCATATTCCTGAATTCAAATCTGGCCTCAAACACTTTCTAGCTGTGTGACCTTGGACAAGTCAGTTAACCCTGTTTGCCTCAGTTTCATCTACTGTAAAATGAGCTGGAGAAGGAAATGGAAAACCACTCCAGTATCTTTGCCAAGAACACCCCAAATGGGGTCATGAAGAATCACATACAATTGAAAAATGACTGAATAACAATAATTACATAAATTGTTTTCCTGGTTCTACTGACTTTACTACAAGTTGATACAAGTCTTTCCAGGTTTCTCTGAAATAAACTTTTTTGTCATTCCTTATAGTATAGTAGTATTTCATTACATTCATATACCATAATTTTTTCAGCCATTCCCCAGTAGATGGGCACTCCCTTAGTTTCCATTTCCTTGCCATTACAAAAAGAGCAATAGTAAATAATTTTGTATATGTGGATCCTTTTCTTCTTTCCTCTATCTCTTTGGAGCTATAGGCCTAGTAGTGATATTTTTGGGTCAAAGTTATATACTTTGGGGCATAGTTCCAAGTAGCTTTCCAGAATAGCTGGGCTAATTCATAGCACCACCAAGGATACATTAATGATACTGATGAAGTTCTAGTGATTTTCACTGGTTGGACCAGGTTTGGTTGAAGAGGTGGAAATTATTTCTAGGGAATTACTGTAGGAAATAAATTAGGAGCAGGTAAGTAGGCAAGGCAGAAAGAATTCTGTCTGCTACTGTGGAAGGACAAACCATACCAGTGGGCACTGAAAAACAAATGGCTTATCATGTGATATTGCTAATAAGCTGCTATAGCTTTGTCTCAGTGACATCATTTCCAAACTACAGACATAGTGTACTAAAAGGGAATGTTTTAGCACTAGCAAATTAGCTTGTTATGTTTATTCCCTGGCTATAAAAGTTAAAATAGGAAGACTCCTAACTGCACCAGAATGAATTAGTCTCATTAACATGTCATCTGAAACAGCCTTTTTAAAGTGTGTTGACTAAGCTAAAAGTATTTAACAAGTCTGAGATGTCAGGCTGAGTGTGCTAGAAGTATACATTCATTAAAGATAAACATAGTATTTCTACCTTCTGCTTGTCTCATTTATTTCCTAAAATAAAATGAAGTTAGTTTAGTAAAAATGTATCCTAAGAAACCCATTTCAAGCTTTACCTTTTAACAGACAGCTACTCCTGAAGAGGCATCCCCTAGTCAAAGAGCCAAATGTACCACAGCCTTAGTAAGTGGGTGGTATGTGAGCACCAACGAAGTTTTCATCATTGCAGATCCTTCCCTGTGATTCATAGCTGGACATCTGTCCATCAACATAAGTATCACAAAAGTCTAATAGAGGTTAGGAAAAATTCATCAGAAACAATCATTTGTACTAGCAACAGAATTCCCTTTAGGAACTTATTTGAAAATATTTCTGGCTTTATTTTTGCAGAAGTAATAGTGTGTGTGTGTGTGTGTTTTTTCACAGTCATCACTCTTCAATGCCACAACTTTATCTTGTGGCCTGGGTGTGGTGTTTAGTCAAACACTGACAGCAATTCTGAATTATAACACATTTGACTATTATCCAAAGCACTGGAAATACTTCCTAAGACACTTTGCGTTTTTAAAAAAGTAATCTTTGCTGCAAGTAAATTTAAATATTTTTGCCTTGAAACAGTTACTCTAAACACTAAAAAGAGGGTGAGTCACTGATTAGCTTTTGAAGAAATTTATCCCTCTTTTAGTGTTTGGGATAGTTGTGGTGGACTTTGAAAAACTTTTCACTAAGCTATAAAATTTCCTAGTTTCTAGATTCTGTTTTTTTACTTTTTTACTTTTTATTTTCTTTATTTACTTTTTATTTTACTATTTGTACTTTTTGTTTTCACTGTTTACTTAACTTGTGCCATTGTCAACTTTCTGATCATTCCTGTGCTCCTTGGGGAAAGGAAACAAAGGGAAATGAAGTTAAATTACCCAGCTTAAGTGGCTCTAGTAGAAGGTTTGATGGAGTTAAACTCCTTGGCCAAGATGAGATTTTTATATTATTTATTTCCATGCCATTAAATTTGGGAGTTAGATTTTTAGAATTATAAAATGTTGGAGCTGGGAGGGATCTAATAGGTTATTCAGTCATAGGTTAGGAAACTGAGGACCGAGGCAGGGAGTAGGGGAAGTATTTATATAGTACCTACTATGTGCCGGACACTGTGCTAAGCACTTTACAAAGATTATCTCGTTTCATCCTCACCACAACCCTGTGAGGTGAGGTGTTATTATTATCCCTATTTTACTGTTGAGGAAACTGATTGCAAACAGAGATTAAGTGACTTGCCCAGGGTCACACAGCTAGTAAGTGTCTGAGAGGGGATTTGAACTCAGGTCTTCCTGAGTCCAGGCACAGGGCTCTATCCACTGAGTTACCTAGTTGCCAAGGGAGATAAAGTGACTTGATTATTGTGACTGAATAACTTTAATAATAGGTTAGAAAGAGGAGTAATTAAAGTGTAAGGCAAAATTATAGTACCTAGGTCACCCATCTTTCCCCAAAACTAGGGATACCTACATGTTGGGAGGCAAGGGAAAGAAGGAACAGTCATTGAGAAGTCCATTTATCAAGCAAACATTTTAATATTTTTTCATTACCCTAATACTGCATTTTGTTGTTGTTGTTGTTGTTGTTGTTGGGTGTTTTGTTTTGTTTTTGCAGACACTGGTCCCCCACAGCCATCCATTCTCTCATTCTTCTCCGGATCTAGGCTTTTCACCTCAAAGAGGGCTGGACACCTCCATGATCACAACCAATGTATCAGGAAATGGCTCTGCTCTCTGGGAATCCCGACCCCAACTTCACCCCCTACTCTTACAATGGCTTCGAGAAGCTATGCAAGGTGCAGGCTAAGAAGGGCTTATTCTACAAGAAAGCCAGGCTCTTACATCCTGGAGAAGACTCCTGTTGCCCCACTTACTGTGAGGACTGGCCCCAGCACGTCATCATCAATGTGGGTGGCATCAAGTATAGACTCCCTTGGACTACCCTTGAGAATTGCCCTCTGACCCGGCTGGAACGGCTAAAGTCCTGTCACAACCATGACGAGATCATGAGCGTCTGTGACGACTACGATGTCAGCAGCAATGAATTCTTCTTCGACCGCAACCCTTGTGCCTTCAAGACCATTATGAATTTCCTTACCGCAGGAAAGCTGAGGCTCCTCCGAGAGATGTGCGCCCTCTCCTTCCAGGATGAGCTGGCCTACTGGGGGATTGAGGAGGACCGTCTCGAGTGGTGCTGCCTTAGGAGACTGCGGCATAAAGAAGAAGAGGCCGCTGAGGCCCAGTTCTATGACACTGAGCTGATGGTGAATGAGTCTCCGCCTTGCGCCTTCCAGGAGGGCAGTCGGCTGGCTCAGTGCATGAGGCAGCTCAGGGACATGGTAGAAAATCCTCACTCTGGGATTCCAGGGAAGATGTTTGCCTGCGTCTCTGTCTCCTTTGTGGCCATCACTGCAGTCAGCCTCTGCATGAGCACTATGCCAGATATTCGAGCCGAGGAGGATCGGGTGAGTGTGTCTGCAGATGCAGGCTTTGAACTTAGTACTTTAGCTGCCCTTGGGATTAAACTGCTGTACACACACCAACAAAACAGTCAAACACTCAATGATTTCTGTAGTGTTCAATAATGGGTATGTGTCCACGTATATACTCTACATAGATAAATTTATATCATCCAAATGACAAGTGTTATTCATGGTCCTATATAACTATAGTTTTAAGTAATTAACAAAGTGACAAAATTCCATCAATAGTCTTCAGTACTGCTAAGTGGCACTGGACCTAGAGTCAAGAAGACCTGAGTTCAAATCCCTCCTCAGAAACTCAGTAGCTGTATGACCCTGGGCAGATCACTTAACCTCTGACCGCCTTGGTTTCCTCAGCTGTAAAATGGGGTGGGGAGGGGGAGTCATTAAGTGGAACCTACCTCCCAGGTTGTTAGGAGGATCAAATTAGATCATATTTGTAAAGCACTTATCACAGTGCCTGACACATATTAGATGCTTAATAATACTAATTCCCTTTCCCTTACCTTTCATGTTCTCTGGACATCTCACCTTTTGTTTGCAACAGCTTGAAGGTAAAAGATCCTGATTCTTAAGGAGCTATAAACACATTCAGATTTAGATCCAAACCCATTCAGCTCCAAATCACGGAGTTCTATTTGCCCCCTTTCTTCTTCAAGAAGTCAGATATCATCTTCCAAATAAGTTCTACCTGGCGAGGGGCCAAAGTGGAGAGTGGGGGTGTATAAAGATATATTTATATCTTTGCATTTATATCCTCAGAGAATAGCAGTGCCTGTCCTATAGTGCGCACTTAATAAATGCCTGTTGGTTGATTGTAGGAACCTCTTCCAACCTAGTGGGCCTTTTAACTTGAGTATTTGGGGGCAACTGATACCTTCAGCATTTCAACTACTTTGACTTTTTTTTTTAAACCAAGATACCCTAAAGGACAGATTTTCATGTGTGTGTGTGCAAAGCTTGTTTCACACAATGCCACCAAATTAACACATGAATTAACCCAGTTTGTATGTTTCGTGGTGCTAGGACTATGAGTTAAATAGGCATCTTTTTCCCTCTCTCCTCACCCCACTTCACCCTTACTCCAGGCATCTGTGGCACCAAATGCTTCACCAAGAACTGGGGAAACACAGAAGTTACTGCTTGGATGACTTTAACACATTTATCTCAAGAGAACAAGGACCCAGCCGCTCTGCCAAAGTCATTAAAATGTCAGGAATTTATGATGTGCAATTAGCTTCTTAGAACCCAAGAACCAAATCATTATTAGAGAACAGATAGATAAGCTGATGGAAAATAGCCTGTCCTTGCATCCTCTTGGAACATCCTCAGTCAGAGCTGTTGCAAGTGAGAAGGCTTCAGCTCTGGCTGTCATTTGCACTTTAATTTAAATTTAAAGAAATTGGTTTGGCTTCATTCATTGTTTAGATACCTGATTACTGAACTGCCATTTCCAGGAGCATTGACTGAGTCCAAGTTTCTGATTCTGCTACTAAAAAGACACTTTATGTATTTGGATTTTCAAAGTCATAGATTAATTCCTTTGCACAGTCATTTACATAGAAATCCTAGGGAGGAATTGAGGCTGCCTTGGACACTAAGGAGCTCAGAAGCAAATCTTATGGGCCTTTCTCCAGCATATCTTACTCTAAGCACTCTCATCACCTTCCAGTTGCCCACATATAGCATATATCAGTTCCATCTTTTAGCTCTTCCATACTTTCCATCCTTCATGAATCACTACTTTCCCCCCTAATTTAATAAACTCAAAGCTGTAGCATAAAATATCAAGAAAATCCATAAAAGCATCTCTCTTTCTCTACAGTGGTAGCCCTTGTGAATAACTCCTTATGATTTCTTCCATATCATTTAGCTGCTCAATGCTATGGAACAAACATCTTTACTCTTCCACTTAGTTTGTCCCAGGTGCAAAGGATTCCCTCCCCTCACTTTTGCTTCTTGGTATGTCTGAGTCCTTTCAAGACCGAGCTCACGTGCTACTTCCTTCAACAAATCTTTCCTGATTCCCCATATTGTTAGTGAACTCTCATGGCAAATCACTGTTTATGTTGTAAATATCTTGTGGTGAACGTATTATATGTCCATCTCCCCATCTCCACCCTTAGAACATAGGCAAGAATGTCTCACATTTATATCCTCTGAGAATAGCAGTGCCTGTCATATGGTGGGCACTTAATAAATGCCTGTTGATTGATTAACATGATTATTTGGGAGCAAACTGATGCCTTAAGCATTTCAGCTACTTTGACTTTTTTTAGACTGAAATACCCTAAAGGGCAGATTTTCTAAAAATCTCTTCACCTCTTTGCACATATTCATCCTAGCCATCTGCTAGCAACCTGGGATCTGAGATAAAGCTGACAGTGATTATTCTCCAAGATTATACCCATATATACACATATATGTTATAAATACATAATACATAATGTGTGCAGAAACTAATATGTACATATACCTACATATACTGCAAAGTATATGTATATGTATATATGTATAGGCAGCTATGTGGTACAATAGATAGAGTGCCAGGACTGGAGTCAGGAAGACTCATCTTCTTGAATTCAAATTCAGCCTCAGACACTTACTAGTTGTGTTACTGGTTGACACTGGGCAAATCACTTAACACTGCTTGCCTCAGTTTCCTCATTTGTAAAACAAGCTGGAAAAGGAAATAGCAAATCACTTCCCCATATCTCTGCCAAAGAAACCCCAAATGGGGTCATGAAGAGTCAGACATGACTGAAACAACTGAACCACGTGTGTGTGTGTGTGTGTGTGTGTGTGTGTGTGTGTGTGTGTGTAGATACACATGCCTATACATATATGATTCAGTCTGCACTCTGAATCCATCACCTTTCTATCTGGAGGTGGATAACAGGATTCATCATGAGTCCTCTGGGATTACAGTTGGTCATTATGTTGATCTGAGTTTTAAGTCTTTCAAAGTTGACTGTCTTTACAACATTATTGTTATTGTATAAATTGTTCTCCTGGTTCTGCTTACTTCAGTCTGCATCAGTTCATAAAAATCTTCCCGGGTTTCTCTAAAACCAGCCCCTTCATCATTCCTTACAGCACAATACTGTCCCATCACATTCACATACCATAATTCATTCAGCCATTCCATAATTGATGGGCACACTCTCAGTTTCTAATTCTTTGCAGCCACAAGAAAGAACGGCCTTCCATAATTTTGTACACGTGGCTCATCTTCTTTTCTTTGATACATTTAGGCTATAGAACTAGTAACAGTATAACTGAGTCAAAGGGTACGCATATGCACCAGGCTTTTCAATTATTCTGTGCAGTTAGTTGGAGATTTCTTTTTAAAAGTCAAGCTAGTCATTAAAAAAAGAACAATTTAGCCTTGCTCAAAACTTCTTTTCTTTGTCAATTAAGAAAAATAGATTTTATATTAAAAAAATTTGCAAGTAGGAAAAGGGAGGAGGGTAGGGAAACTCTTACAACCTTTTAGTATTTTGTTTTGCTTTTTGTTTCTTTTCCATTTGAACTTATAAACTATAAGACTTAAATATTTTCTAAATGTGACTCCATTAAAAAAAATAACTGGCTAAACAAATCACTTTTTCGCTTTTTAAAAACGGTGCTGATTGCTGCCAGCTACTTGGCTTCTACAATGAATCACTGGAGCTGGATGCATGTGACAGGCTCCTTAGAAATCTCTCTGAAGTTCATGGGCCTTGAACAGTGACAAGCACTAATGGAGCTCCTTAATTTGTATCCACATTAAAGTTGACATCCTAATTAAACCTACCCAATAGGTTTTTTTTAAGAATTTAAAAGAAGGGGGAAGATACCTTTTCTTAACAAATAGAATTGCCTTAATGCAGTTATAAAAAAAAGTTTCCCCCTTTTCGTGATCTGTAACTAGTGATAGTTTCCTTTCATCTTTGCAGCATCTGTATTGATTGTTATTTTCGTGAGCCAAGGCAGAAAAGCTTGGAGAGAAAGATCATTATCCCCACTTAGTAAGACAATTGGAGCAATGTAGCTTTTGCTGTTCTAATGATGTTGATGCATAAAAACTGATCCCTTCCAAAAGGAAATGCTCCTTGGAAGACCCAGTTTCTTTGTGCCTTTTTTTTTTTTTAAAATGTAACATAAAAGTTTCTCTCATCAAAGTCTTACCCAGTGGCAGCTGTGGCAGCTTGATTCATCCAGGCACATGCATAATGAGATGCAATGAGCAAGGTGAAGGTCAGTAATGGTAGCTATCCTTTTTCTTTCTTCCTTAACATATTGGGTCTATGGAGTAAAGCTAAAGCCCAGGGACTCTTATCAGCTACTTTTTGGATAAGAGCAGTTGGGAAGCCTGCCTCATTTGCCTGACACAGTTCATTGCACAGAGTAGAAACTAAGTAGAATGCATCACCTCCCTACCAGAGGGGCTGGGGCTGGCCTGACCTGGCAGAATTCCATTGGAAGTTCAGTTAATCAACTTCTTTGGGATTTCTGCCTTTTCCAAAATCTTCCTGTGATGACTTATCCAGTCACAGAAGTGACCCTGGGTTCCTGAAGACTATGTCTTTGGAGGGCAAGTTTTGGTAGGTCCAAGCAAACTATAGTACATGAAGGTTCAGAGCACTGGCTTTTGAGTTAGATACCTGGGTTCAAATCTTGCCTCTGTTACAGACTGTGTGGCCTTAGGAAAGTCATTTAACCTCTCTGTCCATCAGTTTTCTCACTTAAAAAAAAAGATTGAACCGAATGGCCTGTAAGGTACCTTCCATATATGCTTTTATGGATATACCTCAGCAGCTCCTTCGTCATGAGTCTCTATGGTAGGCCCTAACAAATCAAATTCCATCCTTCAGTATCGTGACTTCTAGCCCTATCTATGTAAATATGACCAGGGGTCAAGTCATCATTACTTACTTCACTAAGTTTCCATTTATTCATCTGTAAAATGGTAATGTACCACGTCATCAGGATATTCTGAG